CGATCGTCAAAAAAGAGCTCAGCAAGCTTCCATGGGCTAGCTCAGAGAAGAGGCTGTTTCAGAAGATATAAACGGCATGGCGTTGTTTCAAAGGATAGACTCTTGACAACCTGAAACGTGACACGCTTGAGTGCAATAGGCCGTGTATGCAACTGAATGGGGACTAGGATAACATATAAGCCGTGAAATAAATTCGAGCACTTAATAAGTTATTGAGGATAAAACAACCGCGCATCAATTTCGGGACACCCTGTATGTGAAATATAAGAACAAATGATGAAAAACATCATGATCCTTCATTTAATGACGCAAGGTACAATTTTTACGGAGGTCAAAGATGACGTCACAGGGGACCCTATCATTCGATGTGCCTTGACGAGCTGAACACAATGAGCCATCCGCATGGCTGTATCTCGTTCCTGTAAGGAGTTATTAGCAAAAAAAACCTTGGGTGACCTTTGATGACGTCGTATGACCTTACAGTTGCCCAAGAGCAAAAAAGGCCTCGAGGTAGTCAAGGTTGCTCGTATATGAAGTCATTCATGGTATATTAGGCCATTCCGACGTGATTTAGTGTAAAAATAAGATAGTTGATTTCCCCCATTGGGTAATGGGGTGGTCAGGTATTGACCTGACCCGAGGTCATCGATATCGAAATCCCAAGATATACAAATTGTAGCTACCAATGACCTTATAACATCCTGCAAGTTTCAAAGGACTGCGTCATCTACTGTAGCTCTGACACGGTGACAAAGTTGCAAAAAGTGATTTGAGGATGGGTCATTCAAAGTGACCTGGTGAGTGGTGACCTGACCTTAAAAGGTGGTTCAAACTTGCACACAATGTGTGAAATTGACGGGGGAATAATCATGTCAAATTTCGTGCCGCTACGCGCCGTGGTTTTTCCGCTATTTACGAACAACCTCAGGGGGCGGATATCCGCCCCCCCCCGTCGGGTGGGGCTGGAGGGCCCTGTTATCTCCCGAACTAATGGTCCGATTTGGAAAATTCAAACGCCAATCGAAAGATCTCATCACGAACAACTAAAAACATGTACTTAATTTAAAGTTTGAGGTCAAGGTCAAGGTCAGGTCAAGGGTACAAATTGCAAGTTTTTACAGTATCGGCCTTGCACCGTAGTTGCCGAAGAATGGACTGAGACTGATTGCCCAAAACGTGTTCTTAGGCTACCAAGACAATATTCGTTGCATACAATATCATTCAGAGGTCAAGGTCAAGGTCAGGTCAGGTCAGGTCACCAAAGACAAAATATAGAAAAGGGCATGTGCGACACATGTTTTATGGGTCATTTTATTCATATAATTCAATAGGCACATTCAATAGGTGATATGGACCACATCTGGATGAATTTCAGGTCGAGGTCAGGTCAAGGTCAGGTCAAGTGAGGTCAAATTTTGAAGTTGGTTGTTAAGGCCTAAAAAGGTGTCTATCTGATGCAGTTTTTCAGGGCGAAGCGAATGGTGCTATTTTTGTTTCCGTATAAGGTCTAGAACTTCCCAAAAAATCATTTTTCAAAAAAATTGTTTGTCGTGACTCACCGTGACGACATAAAATTTTGAATAACTCCCACATTTTTGAACCGATATTTCTAAAAATTGGTATGTAGGTGCACATGGACCACTTCTTTGACATATATTCCGGTTTATTTCGATACACGCAAAATTTTTGATTTATAATTATTTTCCCAAAAAAGTCAGTTTTTTTAGAAAAAAATTTGGGCCAAAATAAAAAATTTTTCAAAAAAAAACATGATAGCAATTTGATAGACAAAGTAGATTCACGTATAACCTTTTTTGTTACGTCTTGATTCCCTTAAAAATGAAGATGTTAGCGGCGTTTGAAATTTTGCCGTTTTTGAGGCGGAAATGGCGAACATGACGTCACTAAAACGTCATTTTCTCAAAAACAAAAAAATCCGAAGGATTTCGCTCAAATTTTCAGGGAACGTGTCAAATTGATGTAAGAAAAGGTACTGAAAGTTTGGCGGCGCTACGCGCCACCGTTTTTGAGATATAGCAAAAATTCGCGAGGGGGGGGGGGGGTAAAATTTACCCAGCCCCGCGCGGGTTAACTTTGTGTGATCGAGAGGTATAATTACGTCAAATGACATCACGCCATTTTCAACCAAAAACTGGTAAAAGTTTTATATTTTTTCAAAGCGTTTGGTGCAGAAAATTGAAAATTCCACATGTTAAAAAAAGGGCAATATATCACTACTGTTAACGCCAGACCCCTTGAGACCCTAATTTTTCGCGATTACTTTTAAATGCGTGAAGGAATTTCAACCAAGCTCAGGACATGGCCGTTTCAAGACAGGCCGAAACTTTTACAATTTAGATATTTTATCGCCATTTCAATATTTCAGGCACTTGTCATTGACTCGTAATGTTAAATTTCGAGCAAGATTTTCATCCGGTGTGTAGAGGCTATCACCAGTCAGTCTGTGATACGTTATGACGTCACAGCTAAGCCCCGCCTCTGTGGTCTTGGCCTGCGGCGGTTTCGGGCCGGCGCGCGGTCACTCTCGCTGTGGCGGGGAGCGGGGACGGTCGAACGGTGCCGAAAGCCGGCGGAGTTGTGCGTAGCGTCTTGGCTGACAGTGCCCAGAGAGCGACATGATGACTAAGGAGTCATAAATGCTCAATGCGCACTGCTTCTACAATGCTGATATGTTCGCTGATATATTTTTTTTATAAGCTGCATATGACGGGCAGATGGCATATAACTGACATAAGGTTAGGAAATATTCACCTGTATTTAAAGCCTATGGCGTTGCAGATAATGCGATAATGGGATGTCGGATGTCACCAAGTAGCTGCCGATTTGTCATTGACATTGTAGCAAGGGAAAGAAGGGATGGGCGGGCGGGTAAACACTCCTCTGCTTCGTTGCAGCTGACCCAGCACCGGGGTCCACCGTTGTTCGGCTGTTGTAGCAGAAGAGAGAATAATTCGCCGCTGGAGGAACTCGATAGTAAAGCTGCTAGAACAGGGAAGCTTGAGAGTCGTTGAAGGGATTCCGAGAGAGATCTTCAGAGAGAGAGATCCAGATAGTGATGAGATCCACCTGAGAAAGATGTAGGTATCCAGATCCACCTTGCATACAAATACATCTGATGGAAGATGCTTTAAAATTTAGAGGCTTGATGATTCTGTTCATTGTATAGACCATGATGCACGAGATGCTTCTTCACTGCTCGGATTAGGGATAGTGTTGAGATTCGCCTCCCACCGCCGTGCTCCAACACCAACAGGTCACCGGTGCTGGTGTATTGGTCTCACACGCCCTGCACCGCGCCGCTCCGTCGTCGGTCAGGGCCCACGCCTGACTGCCCGCCCGGCCGCCCGCTCCGCTGACCCGGGCTGGGTCGCTCGCCGGCCCGCCGCCAGGCGGCAGCACCGGACGGGGGCGGCGGCGGCGCGGCGGCCGGTCACCACGCGGATACATATTTATACGAAATCCCGACACTCCTCCCCCCTTATCAGGAGAGCGGCGCGGATTATGAAATAGAACGATAACAAACAAAATAACATTTACCAGCTAACACAAATGCACTTGCTTCTCGGGCAGTGCGCGATCGGCACCACCACGTCGCGCAACGTCACCAACGATGTCCCGATCACCGTCTCGCGCGCGGTCCTCGATTCGCTCCTCGTCCTCGTCCTCGATCCTCTGGGCATCTTCAGGCTTCAGCCAGCTGCAGCCACGCCGGCCAGCCCGCCTTCGCCGCGACTCGTGCGTACCCCGCCGGCGACAGGTGCACGCCATCGTCGTCGTAATGGAGCAGCGCGGCACGGGACAGCACATACGCCGACACCTTACGCCCCTGGCGCCGCCGCTCCAACACGCATCGTCCTACGGACACGTGCTTGATGCGCATGTCGCTCTCGAGCGGCTCCCCCAGCCACCGGGTGACTGGTCGGTCGAGGTGTTTGAAAGCCGCCGTCGCTTCCCACTGGGCCTCCCCCTCGCCGACCAGCGCGGCGCGGGGAGGGCTTCCCTCGGCCCCCCTCCGGGCCCACAGTAGGGGAGCATCGCGCCTGGGCCTCGGCGTCGGCCCGAGCAGGATCACCGGCGCGATGTCCCTGGCCAAGCTCGTGACGGTGGTCTTGAGCTGTCGCCATACGGCTCCATCGAGACGGTCGGGAGTGGCCCCCAACGGGTATACGTCATTGCCCCCGAGCCATACTGCCACTTCTGATGGCTGGAGGCCTCTTCGGCGTGCCGCTTTGCTCCACTCTTCCACTTTGCGCGCCAGGGCACCGGAGCGGACACAGCCGGCCCAGGTCTTGCCGACCTGTGCAGAGGGCACCCACACGGTGACCTCCCACTCGCCCACTCGCGGAAGAAAGCCGGCTCGTCGGGCGAACGAGTCCCCCACGAGCAGCCCCGCCCGGAGGGGCGGACCCACGCCGCTCCCCCCGGTCCCAAAGGAGCGCATGGCGTCTCGCACCAGTGCAGGGCTTCGCAGGAGAGCGCAGCACCCGCCTCCAAGAGCCTGCTGAGGGGGTGGTAGGCGGACGTTGCCCTCCACGGTCACGGTCACGGACGCGCCCTCGCCGCCTCCGTCCACGGTCCGGGAAGGCGGACTCACGCCGCTACTCCCGACCACGGACACGGCCATAGGCGCGCCCTTGCCGCCCCCGTCCACGGTCCGGGAGGGCGGGCTCACGCCGCTTCTCCCGACCACGGACACGGTCGTAGGCGCGCTCCCGCCGCCTCCGTCCACGGTCCGGGAGGGCGGGCTCACGCCGCTTCTCTCGGTCGCCGCGTCCGACTCCGTCCTCGTGGGCATCCACTCGTAGAGAACGGCTGCATTTTCAGCCATCTCTGCCGCTCCCGCGGTCCCGTTCACGTCATCTTCCTCCGCAATATCGAACTCGAACAAGAGGTCCTGCCGTTCGTCGAATGTCAGGAGGTCCGCTAGCAGGTCCTCTTCATCCATCGCGTCCCTGAGAGAGCAAATAAACCGCGTCATGCTACGCGGACACCTGATACGGCACAACGGGTCGGGACACTCGACCAGACCGTGTGATGTAGGGGGCCGGGGGACCGTATACTGGGGGGCTCTCGTCATCCTCCCCCACCCGTCCCACAGGAGGCGCGGGCGTACTGTGTCCAGAGGATGACTGATGCAGGAGAAGGAGCATCCGAGGCCTCCTCTCATCGTCTGTGGTTATCGCGGGCACGGACCCATCACCGCCTCCCTCCCCCGGGGGCCTTTCCCCCGTAGACCTCGGGGTTCCCCGGGTTCCCTGGACACGTCCCTTACTGCATTTGGAGGGCTTCAGGTGGTTATGATGGAGAACACGTACCTTGCCGTCCTTGTTGGCCACCTTATAGGCGACCTCCTTCCCGGGGGCCCCGACCTTACCAATGATGGTAGAGGGACCGGTGAATGGTAAGCCCAGCTTGGGTTTACCGCCAGCTGCGGCCCTGAAGTCTCGGGTCCAGACCTTGTCCCCGATCCGATACTCTTCGGCACACTGCTTCGCGTCATACCTCTCAGCGGCTTCCTTGGCGGCTCGAGCCGAGTTGCTTCGTACTTGATTGTACGCGGCACGCATGGAGCGGAGTCGGTCCTCGAGGTAGCTGTGCACCGGCACGGATTCGACGGCAGGTCCGTACTCGACGTCCAGCGGCATCCGCGGTTCGTACCCATGCACCAGATAGAAGGGTGTGTACCCGGTTGCACTGTGGATTGATGAATTGTAGGCCATTGAGTACGCCTTGATGTCGACGTCCCAATGCAGCCCCTCAGCATCGACGCATTTGCTGATCATGTCCTTCAGCGTCCGGTTAAACCTTTCTACCATGCCGTCGCTTTCGGGGTGGTACGGCGTAGTTCGGGTCTTGTGGATACCTAGTCTCTGGCACATGGCCTGGAACACTCGGGACTCAAACTGCCGCCCTTGGTCAGAATGAAGGCGATCTGGGACACCGAAGTCGTGGACCCAGTCCAGGAGACATTCCAGTATGGTTTCGGTCTTCTGATCAGCCATTGGGTAGATGCGGACGTATTTGGAAAAATAGTCCATGATGATCAGAGCGCAGTTATTTCCTTTTAAGGACGTTGGCATTTCGGTGACATCGACGGCGATCCTCTCGAAGGGCAAGGACGTCGTCTCCGTCACCATCGGGGCTCTTTTTGCGGGGGACGGCCGGTGCCTTCTCTGACAGGGGACGCAGTCATCGCAGAACGCGCGTATGTCCTGGTACATCCCCGGCCAGATAAAACGCCGTCTGACACGAAACGATGTCCTCCGCCGTCCCATGTGCCCACTGGTCGGATGGTCATGCGCCATTTTAAGAATCTCCTCCCGGAGATCTTTTGGGACAGCTGCTCGAAAGCCCTCACCCGTCGCCAGTCCGATGACTCCATCGCGCAGCTCGACGTCCCTCCAGCGGGGCAGCAGCACCTTCCCCCAGGCTCCCATCTTGCTCCGATCTGGTGTCTCCCCACTCTCCAGCCGGCTGCGGATCTGCTGCAAAGCGTAGTCCTGTTCCTGAGCTTGACGAATACCCTGAGCGTCGCCTCTGCCAGCCCCCAGAGGCGCGTTGACCGCCGCTTGTATCCCCCCTTGGCTGGTGTGGTCCGGATCAGGGCACACGCCTGTATCCGTGCCACCAGGGAAAGGACAGCCCTTCAGGGCACCAGACGTCACCTGTGCCTGGACTGTGTGGTCTGGATCAGGACACACGCCTGTATCCGTACCACCAGGGACAGGACTGCCCTTCAGGGCACGAGACATCACCTGGGTCTCTACTCCTCCGGCGCGATCTGGGTCAGGACACACGCCTGAAAACGTACCGCCGGAGCGAGGTTTATCCTCCAGGAAGCGGGACGCTGCTACGGACGCCTTAGCGCCAGATACGGAGGCGACAGCCACTTCAGGAGTCGGCACTTCCACTGTTCCGGACTCAGCTGGCCGCCTGGATAGAGCGTCAGCGTTGCGGTGTTCCACTCCAGCCTTGATCTCGACATCAAATTCAAACGAGCTTAGCTCGATGGCCCAACGGCCTCGCCGTCCCGTCCCGTCACGTTCCACCGCAATGGACTGAGGGATGTTGGCCAGAGGTTTGTGGTCGGTAACGACCAGGAACTTGGCGCCTGTGGTGTATTGACGGAAGCGTCTGATAGCGTGGACGACAGCCCACAACTCCTTGTCATAAGTGGGCCACTTCACCTGCTGCTTTGTGAGGACCTTGCTGTCGTAGGCTATGACACGCTCCTCGCCATCGATCCGTTCCGTCAGGACGGACCCCACCGTCGTGTTGCACGCGTCCGTATACAGCACAAACATGCCGCGGAAACGAGGCAGAGACAACACGGGGGGCGAAGCCAGGATGCTCTTGAGCTGAGCGAAAGCCTGGCGCATCTCCGCCGTCCACACCAGTTTCCCGGGTGACAGTGCAGCGTTCCTCAGTGGCCTGGCGATCTCGGCATAGCCATCGATGAAGTGGGCATAGTAGCCACACAGCCCCAGGAAGCTATTCATCTTCGAGTCATCGGCAGGTTCTGGCCACGTGAGGACCTTGTCCACGTTCCTTTGATCTGGCTTCACTCCTGCCTCCGATACTGAGTGCCCGAGAAAGGTGACTTCGTTTCTTGCCAAGTGGCATTTTTGGGGTTTGAGTTTGAGACCGGCCTCTCTGATACGTTCGAAAACGTCTTTCAGAGTCGCCAGGTGCTCGTGCTCGGTCTTGTTGAAGAGGATGATGTCGTCTAGGTAGACGAGGCATGTCCGGGTGTCTAGACCCGCCAGCACAAGCTCCATCAGGCGCTGGAAGGTGCCGCCGGCGTTTTTCAGCCCCATGGCCATCACTCGAAACTGGTGCAGTCCCCTCCCCGTCGTGAACGCGGTCTTTTCACGGTCTTCGGGAGCGATCTCTACCTGCCAGTATCCTGTGGCCATATCGAGGGTGGTGTACCATCGCGCCCCAGCCAATGAGTCCAATGCGTCGTCGATCCTAGGAAGCGGGTGTGCCAGACCCTTCGTCACGCTGTTGACAGCTCTCATATCCACGCAAAAACGGAAGGACCCGTCTTTCTTGCGTGCGAGAACTACGGGGGAGCACCATGGGCTGTCGCTGGGCTCTATAACTCCGTCTCGCAACATCTGCTCCTTTTGGAGTTCCACCTGTTCACGAATCGAGGCGGGGATCCTCCGAGGCGGCTGCCGGACCGGAGGAGCGTCTCCCGTGTCGATGTGATGCTTCGTGAGGTGGGTGCATCCGATATCTCCGGAATTGCGGCTGAATATATCCTGATATTCCATCACCAAGTGCTTTAGTTCAGCTCTCCCCTCCGCGGACATCCCAGAGCTCTCCACATCGACGACAGGGGGAGCGGGCACACGCCGATCGCCCCCGTCGTCGGGTGCATTGAGAACGTCTGCTGCGCACTGCGCCTGGGTGCAGCCTGTGGTGACGTTCCCGGCTCCAGGCCCAACACACGCCACGGCGTGACGTACGCTGGTCTGTCTGTCGTCACACAAGTCGAACTCGTTGTCGGCTCCGGGAAGAATGGCGAAGAGCGTGCCGACATCACTACCCTTCAGTAATTTGATCTCCCCCAAGCCGGCGTTGGTCAGCCGAATGGGAACAGTGCCATCATGGTCAACTGTTACCACCTCCCTCGGGATCAGGAGGCCCTCCCTCTCCGCTGTGTGACTGGGCTCGAAAACTCCTGACAGAGATGACGGATTGCGCACCTTTCCGTCGAGAGGTGCCACCCGGGCCGCGACGATGAGGGCTGACCGGGCCGGGACAACAGCTGCAGCCGTGAGCAACGCCCTCGCGCGGGTCGGTCTGATCTCGCCGTATGTTGGCAGAGGAATGGACATTCCCGCGAGCCTGAGGACCCCCTGCTGGTCGTCGATGATGGTGCCATACCGGCAGCAAAAATCACGGCCCAGGACGACGTCATACACCAGACCGCTGACCACCGCGACACTCGCGCATGTAAATGACTGGTCACGAATTCTAATTGGAATCTCACTCAGGACGCCTGCGATATGAAGGGGCTCGCCGCCAGCGCCTCTCGCCGGACGGGAAGGCCGCGTCATTTGGTAGCCGAGATCCCGCTGTATATCTATTTGAAGGCCGTCACGGATCATGGTGAAGTCGGCCCCAGAGTCCACCAGGGCCCACACTTCCTTATCTCCTACTTGCGCTTTTACCACCGAAGCGGTAAGTCGGGACCCTGATGGATACGGGGCCGGCGCCTGTCCCTCAGCACCGGCCGACATCAGTTTCCCTGCATGCCAGAGGGCGGCACCGAGGAGGTATCTCGGGGTGCGGCGGGGTACATCTGCTGAACAGGAGCACCAGGGAGCAGGCGGCAGTCCACCAACCAGTGGCCACTCCTTCCACAGCCCAGGCAAAACGGCCGCTCTCCATGAGGGTTGGGCCGCTTGACCGAGTGGGGACACTCGCGTGCATAGTGGGTCCCCTGCTCGCCGCACGTCCAGCATCGACCCCGCCGGCTCCCAGACCCCCCGCCAGTACTCCGGCGCGTCCCAGGCATTCTCTGAGTTGATCTCGGGTGCTCTGAGCCAGTCCGTTCACCCATGGCCGCGCCGTCCCGCTGCCGGTCGGCAGTCTGAAGCTCTTTGAGCGCCTGTTGGACAGCATCGAGGCGACGCTCGAGCGCATGCAGCGGGGCCGACCCCTCCCCACCATTCGATGGACGGGTGACCGGCAGCGCTTCGAAGGTCATCTGAGGATCGGCATCCCAGAGGCGCGACGGGTCCCGATCGAGCCCGCCCGCCCCAGCGCACGTTTGGATAACCTCGCCGGGGGGCACGGTCCCCGGCGCGAGGTAGGACGGGCACACGCCGCTCCTCCCCGCCGCCGGAACACCCCGACCGAGCCCGTCCGCCCCAGCACACGTTTGGGCAACATCCCCGGGGGGCACGGTTCCCGGCGCGAGGTAGGGCGGGCTCACGCCGCTCCTCCCTGCCGCCGGAATACCCCCCGGAGGCCGACTGACGGCAACGTGGTCATCCCCTAGCTGGGCGGCCGCTGCCACTGACCGCACCCCGGCTGTGGCCTGCCTCATCGCACTGACAGTCGCCTGACGTTTGTGTACGGCACACGCTTTGTCAGCCACAGCCTGCAACGTGTGCAGATCCTCGCCGCATAATTGGCCCTGCAGACGTTCATCGTGCAGTCCACACAAGAACCGACTTGCCAAATTCGTTTGGACGGATGCGTCGGTCTCGCCGGCACGTGGATATGCGGCGCGGCCCAGCAAACGGATCCTGTCGGCGAAGTCGACCACGGACTCGCCAGGCCCCTGCATGACTCCTGCCAGCTCTGCCTGGGCCTGGAGAATTCCGACATCTGACCCGTAGCGCGCTGCCAGGGACGCCTTGATTCCTGAATAGCTGGTTTTAGTCTTGTCGGGAAACGAGGCGTAACAGTCTAGCGCCCTCTCCTCGAGGAGCGCCACGAGGCACTGGATGCGGTCTGCATCGGAAAACGAAGCGGTTTGGGCTTCGAACCGGCTCACCCATTGATTCCAATTCTGCCCCTGTGCTCCAGAAAATGGCTTAGCCTTAGACAAAATTAGTATTTTGGGATCCATGCCCGGTCAGGATCGGGACACCGCTGAAGTTACGGGCAAACGCCGAATACTTCAACGTGTCAGGACACACAGTTGAAAAAGGAACAATGCCCGCAGGGAAGTACGGCTAAACAGGCGGTAACACGCCGGATGTTTTAGCAGTACGATGTAAAAGAATATGTACAAATTTAAGCGCAATAATTCCTCTCGGGAATTTTCTCACCTGTGAGCAGGCGCGTAGATTGGTGTGGCATCCACGGCGAGGCGGACCTGGTCCCTTGTCGTCCTACCGACCGCGCCAATGTTGAGATTCGCCTCCCACCGCCGTGCTCCAACACCAACAGGTCACCGGTGCTGGTGTATTGGTCTCACACGCCCTGCACCGCGCCGCTCCGTCGTCGGTCAGGGCCCACGCCTGACTGCCCGCCCGGCCGCCCGCTCCGCTGACCCGGGCTGGGTCGCTCGCCGGCCCGCCGCCAGGCGGCAGCACCGGACGGGGGCGGCGGCGGCGCGGCGGCCGGTCACCACGCGGATACATATTTATACGAAATCCCGACAATAGAGGGATCCGATCAGCTGGGTTTGCGGCACAGTTGGGCAGGTGAAGGACAGGGCATTCGAAGTTCCGATGACCACTGCCAAACATATGGGTGGTAATTACATTGATAAATTGAATGTGATCATTCGTCCAGTCACCCATTCCTATATCACTGGCCTCCCCATTAAGAAAATTGCCCACTTAATTCGTATTAGCGTTGCTAGTTTTAAGTTGCCCTCAAGAATCATTTGTTCGACTGCCGTAACCGAATTCTACCAAATTCCTATCGGCCTTACTCTAAGATTCATGCGTCATCATTCTCACACCCTTGCTCGCATTACGTTCACATTTCATGTATTCACCCAAATTTAATTGGTAGCCCCCGAAATTCCCTCCGATAGTGTTAGGCTTCTTACAAACCATGGTCTCCCCGGCGAGATAAATGTCTCTTCCGAAATCCATATGCACGCTCCGCTAACCGGCGACAAACATACTTATCGCAGGGCTGTCCAGAATAATTATGCACAAATATCCACCCTCCTATTTTATGGGATTCACTACACGTCCGATAGACTTATAGTACACACATACACGATTTATATGCGACTTATCTCTCTACCGGGAGAGATTACCTATGCCCTCTTCCGGTCCGCGTGTAACATTCCCGTTCACGACCCAGGGACCACAGTTCATATCCTGGAACTATCCTTAAACCATGGGATTTACTCTTCAAGGCCTTACGGGTCCTGGAGTACATTCTTCCCTCCCCTGAGGCTGTCCAGTACCGATTAGAGTACCTTTACGAAAATAAGTATGAGGACTTATCCGGGACACTACGGCTCGCTTTATCCGCCCTTTGGGTGACTCACCCCTGACCTTCGGCTTCTTGCCTTTGGCATAACTTACTCTCCACTGCATACTGTGCCAATCTTCCCCCTCTCCCCTGCCGTAGAAACCTCTCACTGCCTTCTCACCCAGTGTTACCTAAGCGGGAAAATTAACAGTGGCCGGTACCACTGGCGGAAAACGTGCATATGCCCTGCGTACGTGACGGCGTGCCCCTCTTATTATTCCGGTCTGGACGTGGGTTTAGAGAAGTGCATCTGTGTCTCATACGGTCATGCTGGTAAACGTTACGCCATAGGAGACGGGCAAACAAGCCGTCTGTGCCTCAAAATGCCCTGTGCCAATATTGGTGGAGTAATGATTGGCGCTAACTCGCAAGAACGCGAAGAACATAAACCGCATTATTTATCCAAACCAAATCGTAATCTCAAGTCCTTATTGCTGCTGCACGCGTGAACCTAATCATCAGTTCTCGTATACAATCCTAGCAGACCTTGAACCGCTCTTGATTTGATCAGATGATCTAGAACTTGAACCGCACTTGATTTGATCAGATGATCTAGAACCAATTAGTACGCACCGATCTGTCGTCTGGTTGTGATCCACCGTATCATAGTAAATTACTGAATGCTCAAACGGAAATGACTCCTTGAAACTCATTCGATAGCTTCTGATGGACTACTATTTACCTATACAAATTATCTTTATAGAGTGCTAGAATATTGTCATAGGGGTCCCTAGCCCTTCATGGAAAATCTAATTTTAATCATCCTATCAGCAGTAAACAATGCACATCAAACGAACCGCTGTCCTAGATATTACCTAGCATGTCGTATTTAGAATTACGCATTAACTGTTTACGTTCTTGTCCCGTGGCAACTTTCCACAACTAACCATGTTTCTATTCGATGACCTTCACCTACCGCACGCGCCCCAATTACGGCTAACCCACTGCCCCTGTTGTGGTTGCTCCTCGCGCCCTCTGGCGGCTCAACGCCCGCGTCGGGAACGACGATTACCACGGCTGCCGGTCGGCGCCGCGTCGACACCGTCAGTCAGTCACGCCG